TGTGATCTTGGCTCACTGCAACCTGCACCTCCCAGGTTCAAGCAATTCTCCCACCTCAGCCTCCCGAGTAGCTGGGACTACAGGCGCCCGCCACCATGCCTGGCTAATTTTTGTATTTTTAGTAGAGATGGGGTTTCGCCATGTTGGCCAGGAATGACTTTAATCTCTTGACCTCGCAAAGTGCTGGGATTATAGGTGTGCGCCACTGCGCTAGGCCTCTACATAGCTTTTAAAAATGTCATCCTGCTTTTTCTAAAAAAAAAATTAAGTATATCCTTCAAATATCAGTAATATTTAAAATATTCATATTAACACATATTCAATAATTACTAAAACATGTTTAAAAATAGAGAGCTTCTCTCCTGAGTAGTGGTGGGAATGTGAGGTGGTACATTTGGGATTACAGCTTCGGTTCTGTCCCCTCATCCCCAGGAAACTACTGTCTTAACTGAGGATGACCAAACAAACCTTTTTGAAACAGTGATTTCAAAAAGGAAAGACAGTCCAAAAACTCTGTATCTGTAGGAAATCTGCCTCATGGGAGAGATTACCCTTTCCCTTTTTTGAGACAAGGTCTCACTCCTGTCACTCAAGGGTGGAGTGCAGTGTCAGGATCTCGGCTCACTGCAGGTAATCCTACTGCCTTGGCTTCTCAAGTAGCTGAGATACAGGCATGCACCACCTGCCCTGCTAATTTGTTTTTTTTTGTTTTGTTTTGTTTCGTTTTTTGTAGAGACAAGGACTCGCTATGCTGCACGGGCTGGTATCAAACTCCTGGGCTCAAGTGATCTTCCTGCCTCGGCCTCCCAAACTGCTGGGATTATGGGCATAAACCACAGTATCTGACTTTCCTTTTCCTTTGTTGAAGAAGAAGCAAAAGTGTTCCACTTGGCTACCAGTTGGAACTTAGTAAATAAATGTACCTCAGAACTAGAATTATCCATACAGTTATTCTTAAGGATAATTAGAAATGAAACAAAATGAAGCCGGGCATGGTGGCACAAGCCTGTAATCCCAGCACTTTGGGAGGCCGAGGCGGGTGGATCACCAGGTCAAGAGATGGAGACCATCCTGGTCAACATGGTGGAACCCCGTCTCTACTAAAAATACAAAAATTAGCTGGGCATGGTGGCGCATGCCTGTAATCCCAGCTACTCAGGAGGCTGAGGCAGGAGAATTGCCTGAACCCAGGAGGCGGAGGTTGCGGTGAGCCGAGATCGCGCCATTGCACTCCAGCCTGGGTAACAAGAGCGAAACTCCGTCTCAAAAAAAAAAAAAAAAAAAAAAAAAAAAAAAAAAAAAAAAAAAAAAAAAAAAAAAAAAAAAAAAAAAAAAAAAAAAAAAAAAAAAAAAAAAAAAAAAAAAAAAAAAGAAATGAAACAAAATGAGTGGCTTTTCACTCAGTTCACCAGGCAATGTGTAAAATTCCATGTGTTTGCTGAGATACAAAAGTTTAGAAATCCACATCTCATCTAGGCAGTTTGATATTTGGACAAATTTGTCTAAATCAGGTAATGTATCTGTAAGCAGCTGAAGAAGAAATACCTTAAGAAGAAACAAAAGATGGATCTTGGAAGAAATTTTGGAAACTTTAATTTAATGTAATATGAACACATTAATATTCTAAAATCTTCCATATTGCTCTAATTTAGTAAAAGAACTGTGTATTGGATTTTTTCCATTTAAAAATGAGGCACAATGAACTTGTTTAAAATATTTTACTAGATTATACATATACACTTTCCAAAATTCTCACGTAATCTCTAGTGAACTTTTAAATGGTCAAAGCTTGTGTTCATTGGCCGGGTGCAGTGGCTCATGCCTGTAATCCCAGCACTTTGGGAGGCCAGGGCGGATGGATCACGAGGTCAGGAGTTTGAGACCAGCCTGACCAACATGGTGAAACCCCATCTCCACTAAAAAAAAATACAAAAATTAGCCAGGCATGGTGGCGCGGGCCTGTAATCCCAGCTACTCAGGAGGCTGAGGCAGGAGAACAGCGTGAACCGGGGAGGCGGAGGTTACAGTGAATCGAGATCGCGCCACTGCACTCCAGTCTGGGTGACAGAGCAAGACTCCATCTCAAAAACAAACAAACAAAAAACCTGTGTTCATGTGAACCTTTCCTTTTTTTTTTTTCCATATTCATCTACACTTACAGATTTCCTTAGTAACATTTTGATTTGCTGGGTGTTTGCTTTTGGTTGCATTTTTTATTGCGTATGCAGAATGTCCATTGCTGCCTATGACTTTAGGTTTGTTATAGGTTTATTTGGGCAGTATTAAGGGAAAAAAAGCCATAAACCAAGAAATACTCTCCAGCATTTTAATAGGGCCAAAACAAAGTTGGTGATCTAAAGGCTTTT